ATTTTTTTAGGATTTCTAAATATTTTTTTGGATTTGCAAAATATCTTTGGATTTGTCAAACTTTTCTACATTGATTTTAAAATAAATATTGCAATTTGAATATTTTTCGGGATTTGAAAAATATTTCTGGATTGTCCCTTTTCGGCTTCCGTATTTCAAGGATAAGTAGATGAGCAAATTTTTATGTAAAATTTAAGGTTATTAAGTTTATTATCCTTAAAATACTTTGCTGTGAAAAATGTTTAGGAACAGCATACAAGGAAATTAGCCAACATCCAGCCATTTTGACCCCACACTTGCTTAAAATAATGCATATATCCTAGAAACGCAAATGTATTCATTGTCCTACAAACTAAATTACCATCAAAATATCTAAAAAACTGAATCAATTATTTCAGGGTTCTAACCCTTTTTTAGAAACAAATTTCGGGGACTTTTCTAGGACTCAGATTGATTCTTCCAGGACTCCAAATTTCACCTTAAACCTTTTTAATCCCAAGATTGCAAAATCATTTCTCCTTATGGTCTACATACACTTCTTATAATGCAAATTCTTAAAACTTTATCGCTTGAGTTAAGCAGTTTTCCAGGGCTTTCCTGGACCTGTAGTCTTTTTCCATGACTTCCCAGTCATAGAAACTGTCATAATAAAATTCCAGGACTCCCCAGGTTTTCCAGACCCCGTACCAACCTTGATACTTTGAGTGATACATGGTAAATAAACTAAGAAACGACGGCTTGGAAACAACCAAAGCTTAGAAAACACAAACTGACATCAGCGTGTAAAGCTAGCCATTAACTCTAGCTTCACACTCTAACATCAGTATACATTTTCTCCATGCCATTCTCCATACTTCTTCTCTGGCACAAACTTTGAAATCCCTCCTCCTCCCCAGACAACCCCAACCTGGACTGTCATCTGTACCCATGGGGTGGGTTGTTTGAACCTTACCGGGGTAGGGGCATTTTTTCAGATGTCATTGTTATTCTGAAATCAAGGGACCGTGAGCTGAAACCTCCCTCGAAACTTTGTCGTATGCACTTTTCTGCTTTTTGAATTTCGCCAACTTTTCTGAAAACAGCTATGTACTAATAGTAAATTTAGATACTTGTCGTTCTAAATCCAGATTATCCATATGTAGTCCCTGATTACGGTTTAATTAAATAGAAAAACATCCTAAAAGAACCTTGCCTTCTTTTCTCCCATGTTAACCCTGACATACAACTCCACAATTTGATCGGTGATTCCCTCCAACGAAATGTTGTACGCTCGTAGTGCACCCATTGCTTCGGTAAATATGTGTTTGGGTGGTTCTCGATAACTAATTGCGTAGACATTATCATAACGCTTGAAATTTGCTTTTGGCTCTCTTCTTCTCCTTTTTGATGCAAAATTCCGAGAGAAAAGAAAAATCTGACGCGATTTTGAGGCAAATCTGAAGCAGCCCACGATACCAATCGGGGCCGCCATATTGGCAATCTCGGCCCTTTTGGCTTTTTGTCCGCGGTATAGTCAGTTAACACTAGATACCTGATGTATGAGGACCTCTGATGTCCTTGATACACGTAATGTTCCATACCTTACATAGAGCATGTCAGCATCAGAGAAGAAAGACTTCAAAATGCGACTTTCATTGGAGTAGACTACGAGTAGTCCGGTCTATTCTCTCAGTTTC